ATATACATTGTATATAAAAAACTTGTAATCATACATTAATAATAAATACGACATACAGGCAAGATCGCCCTTTAAAATAAAAAAAAAAAAATAAAAAATTCATGTCGCATTCATACGTATACTGTATGTGCATGTACGTTTAAATTGTGAAAAGAACAAATGTGTTTGTGATTCTGTATATACAGCATTAATGTTCTGCGTCAATTATAAAATTCAATTTTCAATTGACACGTGTTATTTTTCTCTACCGATTGAAAGGTGATTTCAAATCAGTAACGGTAATGATAACATGATTTCATCTTATACTGTTATATAAATAAGCATAATTAGCTTAATTAAATAAATGAATTTTTTATAACTTTTTTCTCCATGAAACAAAAGATATAACTTTGAGTATTGATCTTTTGATCGAATCTTGAAAATCTATGTTAGCCAAAGGAGAGAATTGTATTTCTTTTCAAGCTGCCCCGGTACCTTTACTGTCCCAAAAGGTTTCTGACCTAACCAATAGCATGTTTCCGCCAACGTCTGTGTCCGTCTCATCAATCGAAACCTGTAGTCTTCCAATTTCATGCCTGTATGTGTAATCACATCAGGTCGATTAATAAAAATCAAAGAATCTTTCATTGAATACAACCCAAATAATTCCCTTGCTACCAACATTAAAAATCTCGAAAATCGGTTAAAGATCTTTCAAGAAAGATATGAAAAGTCCAGGCCGAGTATCTGCAGCTGAGAGAACGTGTCTTGCATGTTCTCTCAGCCTAACTAGAGAGAAAAAAGAACCCGCGGACACAATGATGCTTTCATCGAAGTCACTGAATAGAGATGGATCTTCAGAACTCATGTTTAAGTGTTTCATAAGTAAAAGAACCCTATAGAAAGTGGTGACCGACAGAAAAAAATTATTGGCCTATCGTAAGATTTCCCTATTCAAAACCCAAAGCTAAAATAAACCAACATAGCTTTGAGAAATGTTTTTTATAAGCCAGCATTCAATATAATCATAAAATATATATATAACCACCTTGTTAAAAAAAAAAAAAAATTAAAAAACAATATTCAAATCTAATCTCTTTAAATAGTAAAAAATCACATTGTGAAATTTGATCTAAAAAAACCTGATCAATTGCCCAGATATAGCCTAGATAACTTAATGTTTTACAAATATAGTCGTGAAGACTAAAATACTTATATCTCGCAATCTACTGAGCAGATTTTAACATTTTAACCACTATTTTAATCACAAGACACTTCTTTACAACTTTACTTAGAAGTTAAAAAGAGAGATTACTTAGTAAATTTTTGAAAATCAATATTTTTTATAATTTTATTAATAAAATTATGAAAAATATTATAATTCTCAAAATTATATTAATTAATCTTATCTTCATGTTCTAAGTAAACTTGTTCTATATATAAAAATACACTATATTAATACATGTTTACCTTATAATTTTAAATTTTAAGAAAAAGATGTTTAATTTTGAATTTTTGATTAAAAATTTTAAAATTAAATAGCTTTCTTTTAAAATTTAAAATTATAAGATAAATGTATACTAATATAATATATTTTTATATATAATACTTAGAACAATAAAGTAGGTTTATGGGGTTGGGATCCTGTGGCCTAGTGGTTTAGGCGCCCAACCCTCCATGAGTGGGTTTTGGGTTTAAGTCCTAGTAGATATATTTATCTTTGAATATTTGAATATACTCACATATAGGAAGTTCAAGTGAGTACTTATTTGGAATAGGAATTTCCGGAAAGAGGTCCATTGTAGAGAGATGGCATTATGTGTAACAGACAGATATTACAGAAAGTTCTATTATTTGAAGATTGTACATGTAAATTCTCAGTTGGTATAGATAGTACCAACAACCCCTAAGGTAGCATTGGGGATCTTGATTGGGAGGGTAACTATAATTGAAGTAGTAAGAAAAGTGGTAAAACACAAAGAAACCTGTAATAAAGAATTGGCTTTACCAAATTTAGAACACCTCTAATATCATACAGAATTCTCTAACTAATAAGAAGTTAAAACATAGAGGTGTGTATGTGTTGCTAGATTCAATAGGCTCTGGTCATACCTATATAAGAGTCTTCGGACATTAAGAGGATCTGGGACTAGTAATATAAGTATAGCTGGTATAAATATATGTAGTTGTAACCAAGCTACAATTGCCAAGAATCACTATAAAAAGAAACAATAATGTACTTGTTATGCAAAAAGCCTCATAATACTATTCAACTATACTGAGTACTAGAAGTATATATAAAACATGCTTGAGCACCTCATCACCATATTGGAAAGTATAGTCGTTAGCACAATTACCAAATTCAATATATTAAAACCTGGGTTCCAAAGTTACAGAAAACTAGCTAGTTATGGCAGCATATAGGTTTGAGATACTTACCTAATTGGGTAGAGGTAGCTGCATGGCTTGAGATATGAACTCCTGAAAGTATGCTAATAAGGATTAAGGAAAAATCTCTCTGTTAGGTATATCAAACCAGAAGCAAAAATCACCTACCTAGAGTAATATACACTGATTTAAAAGTTGAAATAGTAGGTAATATGAGTAATATAGTAAATATATAAATACTAATTGGCAGTTGGAGAGGGAAGTACAAATCCAGGTCAGCTATATAGTGGGAGTACAAGAAGGCTTTGGTGAGTTTTAGCTGTAAATAAATGGTTTGTATAACTTGATATTTTAGTTTTAGTTCTTATATATAATATGTATATATATCAGCACTATTATATATCAATCATTTAAGTATTAAATACAGTTTGAGGCAGATGCTATATCCCAAATATTAAAAAAAATAAATAAATAAAGTAGATTTATTTAGTAAATTTTTGAAAATTATAATATTTTTATACTTACAACAAAATTTTTAAAAAAAGTGGACAAAATAGCTTACTTCTTTTAAAATATTAATATTATTTACTTTGGATGAACTAGTAGATTGCAATTATGTATTTGGTCAAAAAAACAAATATATTGCTATTTTATATAATTTTTAAGAACTAAAGTTAATATAGCAATTAATAGGAGTTGTTGAGTTAAAAATTGTTTTAGTTTAGTTTTATTTTGTATTTAGAGATATAGAAATATTGTATTTGCTATAAAATTTTTATAAGCCTAGTACAGATCATAATAGTATATTTTGTCTTTGTTGTTTTTTGTTTTTTTTTTTACTTTTTTTTTACTACTTGATAGTAGTATCTTTTTACTTTATTAGTTTATTTTAGGCTTAGCTCTTTGTTTTCTTTTTTTTATATTTATTGGTTCTCTATTATTATTACTTTATAAGTTTTCTTTTTGTATTAGTTGCTTCTTTTTTTTATATATTACTTTATTTTCTTTTTAATGTTTAGTTTGTATCTTTAATACAGAACCTTTTTCTTTTTACTTTTGGTAAAAAAAGAAATTCA